TGTGGCTGCTCCCTCCCTGGCAGGGTTCAAGGTCAGGTTGGATGGAGCTCTGAGCACCCTGGGCTGGTGGAAGGGGTCCCTGCCCATGGCAGGGAGGTGGAACGAGATGGTCTTATAAGATCCTTCCAACCCAAGCCATTCTGTGATTCTATGACGTGTCATGAGATGGTACCCCAACCCTTGGCAGGTTCCTTCTGAGCATCCCAGCACTACGTCCTGCTTGAGCTTGAACTTTTCTGGCTGATCCTAACGTGTGAAAACCAGCCCCTTGGTGCCTGAACACTTGTTGCCTACAGGTGTAACCGTTCCTGTCCATGTGGCTGTGGCTTTGTGTAGGTTTGGTACCAGGTGCTACAAGGAACATTATCTGATGAATTTTCTTAGTCTTCAGATAGGAACTGACCATTTAGAACATGTTTTTACCTGGGTACCAGGTTTGCGTGCTGCTACCAGATCCTTCACCATTTTGACCTCGGAGACTGTCACTCCACCAACCATAAAGATGATCAGAAGAGGATGATCACCAGGGTGAGGGCGATTCACCTGTAACATGAAGGAAAGCATTATTTGTAGATGCCTAGTCCAACTCCAGACCTATGGACTACCAGTGACGGTCTCCCTGAGCTGCTGGAGGAAGACTAACGAGGAAGCTCAGAAGGAAACATTCGTGGAACGCTGGTTTCTGTAGCAGCAGAGAGGGAAATCAGCGGGGACGACGCGCTGTTAAGCACTGTTTCCAGGGAAAAGAAGACTTCATGGCTGCCACTGAAACCTGGAGGAGTTTCTCATGAGGTCTGAGGGCTTCTCCCTCCACGCCTTCTTCACTTCTTTCCTCCCTTCCCCAGAGTCAGAGTACTCGGGTGGATGCACAGTTGGGTACACATACACACGCGGTTTTAAGGAATGAGGGGTGAATTACTACCCAGGAGAAGCAAGGAGCCCAGCCTAAACACGCCAGAATCCCTGCCTGAGATCGGCAGTGGAAAGGATCACGAGGAACGTGTTTTCATCAGCCCAGCGCATACTCCTTTACGATTCATCCAATGAAAACACATCGCGTCCATTATAGTACAACAGCAGGTTCTAGCTTGTTTCATTTCAGTCTTTTCAAAACTTCTAGGACTGCGTTGTAACTAATATAGAGAAACTTTAGCTCAGACAAAATACTTGTTTCATTTTTCCCCAATTATCATTAAAACGGCACAAACATTCCCCTTCGGTTGAGACTTTATAAAACTGCGTTTTAATTTTAAACATGAAGGCGACGCTTAACATCAGTTTCACAGAATCACAGAATCACAGAATGGTCGGGGTTGGCAGGGCCCTCTGTGGGTCACCCAGTCCAACCCCCTGCCCAAGCAGGGTCACCCAGAGCAGGCTGCACAGCACCGTGTCCAGGTGGGTCTGGAATATCTCCAGAGAAGGAGACTCCACAGCCTCCCTGGGCAGCCTGGGCCAGGGCTCCGTCACCCTCAGAGGGAAGAAGTTCTTCCTCATGTTCAGCTGGAGCTTCCTCTGCTTCAGTTTGTGCCCGTTGCCCCTTGTCCTGTTGCTGGGCACCACTGAAAGGAGTCTGGCCCCATCCTCCTGACACCCACCCTTGAGATATTTCCTCTTAACCACATCTAGAAGTTTGATTACTTTGCTGCTTCCTAGCAGACCTGTTCTTTCCTGACAAAGCACACTCCCCCGACAACACCTTGCCCCACCACCATGGCAGCCACCTCCAATCCCTGCAGCCCCAGCTCCTCAGGGTACAGCTCTGCTTCTTGTCCTCATTGTGGCTGCCCTGTATTTAGTCTTTGGACAGTTTTTCATCCCACAGCTCTGTCAGGCTTTCGTGCTGGCAGACTTCAGAAGAGACTCGTGGCGTGCTCTCTATCCAGGCTAGCTGGTCTTTGGTTACACCAGGCTCCCCGTCCAGCCCTGCTCCCTGAGCCCTTCAGCTCCCCGAGAGTCTGAAACCAGCACAACAAACCTTCGACAGATGCATTGGTGAAATGAAAAAAAGTCCATTCCTATTTCAAACACCATGAGGCGTTGAAGTAAGACCTAAATATTTACTTACAAAGCAGGTCAGATAGAGCTATTACTTGATAAAAATATCAAGAGTATTTCATGCCGTAACTGCGGTAAGCAGTGACACAAGGTTGAAGAAATAACGGCTCGCAAAGATGGTGAAGATAAAAGTTGACAAAATGCTCTGCTACGGCACTTCAAGGTAATACAGGAATTAGTGGTTTGTTCCTTCTCATGGATCTTTGCTCTCCTTAACACTGTCGCCAGAGCGAACAACTCCACTCCACCTCGCGAAGCTTCTGAAGGAAGAACTTCTTCCCTCTGAGGGTGACGGAGCACTGGAACAGGCTGCCCAGGGAGGCTGTGGAGTCTCCTTCTCTGGAGATATTCAAGACCCGCCTGGACAAGGTCCTCTACAGCCTACTGTACGTGACCCTTCTTCGGCAGGATGGTTGGACTGGGTGACCCACAGAGGCCCCTTCCAACCCCTACCATTCTGTGATTCTGTGAATGACCCAAGACATGTGCAAAGAGCTTGAACTTCAGAAGCTTGCTGTTGAGTAAAGCCTCTCTTTCCTAATATTTTCCCTAGCGACAACAAAGTCACCATAAACACGCGTGCACAACATCGGACACGCTGAAAGGACACCCAACGCAAGGGCATTAACTGGAAAACACAAGCTTTCATGGCAACGCTGAAGAGAAAATGTCTTGACAAATCATTTCCTTCAGTTTAAATAAACCTAGATCCAAACACATGGTGCCTATATAAAACTTATTATTCTTCAGAAGACTAAAGTTCAAACCACAAATTCCAGAAATGCGTATTAAAAATACTATTAGGCATGCAAACTCTAGATTAAATTAAAATTGCAATGAAAAGGGTCTTGGAATCTGCAGTTTTGTTCTGCTATGCACAAGTGTTTTGAAGGAGGACAATACTTTGGGTACAAAATATTTGGCTGTGTTAAGAATGCAAGTTTCTGCCAAGATTTTTTTGTTTGATAATACAGCCACCCTAGGCTCTCTCTTTTGAAGGAACAGGCTGCGTGTAGCTAAACACAGCTCATTTCTGTGATGCAGAAGAAGAACTGAAATGGACCGCAACAAAAGCAACGCATATCATCTAGGATCCTTCTAAAGTTTGGTTGTTTTGGGACGTTTCTGTGGCCTCGTGACATTGAGCGAAGGAGCATGAAGGAAGAAGGAGGAGTGGTTGCCCGAGCTAGCAAAGCATCCCAGCTGGGCCAGCCTTCTCTCCAGCTCCGAGCCCACCACCACTGCCTCTCCTCCGGACGTGGATGGTGAGAGGGCTCTTTGCTGGGTCTGCGTGGAGGGGAGGGAGGGGAGCAGATGGGAAAGCGGGGTGACAGTGGTCAGTAAAACTCTAAAACTGAAGGAGGAAGGGGTCAGAGGACAGGTTTGTTCTCACAGCAGATCACAAACCACAGCCTTTTCTTCTGAGGAGAGTCAACAGAAACAACTTCTGCTGCCCCATGAGGGCTCTCTCTGCCAACCGGGACACCAGCACCAAGGCATCTGGTATTTGTGACCAACCAGAAACCAATTTATTTAGCTGAATAACTGGAAAAAGGAAAACACATCGATCACCAGAAACTAGACTGCCATGCAGGGCACTTGGCATCGATGATACCAAGCCCAGTTCATCATGAACCACGTGAGTCTGAGAGCAGCAGCCCAAAGAAGAATCCTTGCGGCAGGGAGGCCTTTTCCCTTCACCTTCCCTAAGCTTCAAAACAAACACATCCACCAGAGAAACGACTTCTGGATGAGAGGTATCTTTAAAAGTCTGTCCTAGAATCATAGAATCATTCAATCATTAAGGTTGGAAAAGACCTTGAAGATCATCAAGTCCAACCATCAACCCATCACCACCGTGCCTGCTAAACCATGTCCTGAAGTGCCACGTCTACATGTTTTTTGAATCCCTCCAGGGATGGGGACTCCACCACTTCCCCGGGCAGCCTGTTCAATGTTCATCCTGGATGAACATGTCTGAATCCATCCCTTACCAAAGCATGTTTATGTGAGTTGGCATTGATATTCAGGCATTGAGGAAGAAATGAAAAAATAAGGAAGCTCATGAAATAATTACAGTGCTGACGGTGCAGTAAATGGAGAAGGTCCTCTTGTGTCAGAAATACAGGCTGGTCAGAAACTCCTTCACGTAATAATCGAGCACCTGCCAGCAAGCCAGGCTACCAACTGAATGAGCAAGCATGGACTCATTTGTGAGGCATGTGATGATGCCTGTGAAATATTCATCCTACACAAGGTTCACTTACTCATCTGTTCTATATTCCTTACAGTAGGATATTTTTCTTACTAGCAGAAACGCAGATGCTTACAGGTACATAATTGCCATGATATACTTGTGTGATACACACACACACAAATTCATTAATAAGGATAGAATAGACCTCAAACTAGCCAAAGCTGTCGATGTCTCCATCTATTTAGACTTTCTGAAGTCCATTTCTTGCTTTTGTGTTTTTTTTTTTTTTTTTTTTGTAAAGAAAGCACAAGTTATGAAAAAAAAAAGAAATAACCAAACACAGTGAAATAAATACAATTGTGAGAGTTACTGGTAAATAAAACCAATCATTTAAAAAATCACCTTTGTGCACCCACTTGTTTACTTTGTTTGATGGTGGAACATGTGTTTTTTTCTTCTACTATTTTTGGAGTTTTGGTGTTAATTTTTTCTGTAGTGATACATGAACAGAGAGAACATTGGGTCACTATTTCTACAGCTATCCTCTTTCGTCTCAGGGCTCTATCATAAGCCGTGAAGAGCTGAGAATTTCCATCTAAGAACCTAACGAAACACATTTGGAAATCCATTTCAACAGTGGATAGAGATTCCTGACAACAAGCACAGGATTTTGGGCATATCTGTTTTGTGCTCAAGACTAACTTGCTCTGAAGTAACAGAAAAATAACTTTGTTATTCTGATAGTGGACCAACACAACAGTCCAAGCTATTTTTGTCACTTGTCTTTAAATGCACGGCAAGCCCAGCAGACATTTGCACGAAATACGAAAAGCCTTTTTTCTTTTTGATTACCATAGAATCACAGAACATTTCAGGCTGGAAGGAACCTTTGCAGCTCATCTAGACCACCTCTCTGCCCAAAGCAGGGCCGACTTCAAAATTGTATCAGGTTGCTCCGGGCTTTGTTCAGCCAACCTTTGGACATCTCAGAGGTGGAGAATCCACAGCCTCTCTGGACCTAAGCACTCTCACCGTGAGCGTTTTTGCCTTATATCCAACTGGAATCTCCCTTGCTGCTACTTGTGTCCACTGCCTCTCCTGCTGTTTGCTGATGCCTCTTCTGTGCTGAGGGGTGGTGGTGGTGAAAGTGGAAGAAGAACACCAGGCACCGTGCAGAAATATACTGTACTCATAACCTTAGGATTGGTGGGGTTTGATGGCTTGTCTTCAACGGAGAAATCAGGATATGCAGTAAGACAGAGCTGAACACACAGCATGCTATCTACTCCACGCTTCATCTCTGTAGACATTTAACAAACACTTAGCATAGCCTAATTTGCAAAAGCAGAGTAAGCTCTTGTAGAAAGACTGTCTTAAAACATGCAAAGAGAATCCACAAGGCAATTTCTGACTAATAGGCCTCCTTTCTCCCCACTGCAAGTTGAGCCTTACCAAGTTACAGGAAAGGCACCGAATATGAGGCTCCTCTGACTTCCTTCCTCCCCTGTGAGACCTGGCTGTTCACACTTACTTCTCTCTCATCTCAAGGCTGCTTGGTGTCGTCAAAATCCTTTGATGAGGTGCCTTGTGGAAGGCCTTTTGGAAATCCAGGTAGGTTATACGAACTGGTACTCGCTTATCAATTCACTTGTTGGGTGTCTCTGAAGAGCTCCGAAGGCTATGTGAGGTAGGACTTTCCTTTAGCAAAGTCACACTGCATCCTCCTGGACATATCACCCGTATTTAGGTGTCCAGCATCACCCTTCTTTAGCT